CATAATTAAGAAGACAARGCCAAAGAAAAGAATGTTAGCAGTTACTTCCATGTGCTTTCAAGCACCAGGGAATTTCTCAGAGAAGAACTTAGAAAACAGAGTTTCTTTCTGAATTAAAGGGTTTGGAGATACGGTGTTTCTGAATCCAGCATTTCAATTGAAAGGAGCTTCTGCACTTTTTTGCACTAGCACTTTTTGCACTTCCAGATATCCCCAAAGCAACAGAGCAGCTCTTAAGGTTGCCTTTGAATTTTTGTTAAAGGAAAGTTCTACGATACAGCAAGGACTCAATGAGGAAGGCTAGGTAAGGGTTTTTTTCCATAAAAAGTCTGTATGTGCAGARTTTGGTGTTTTCTATCTGGGCATGACATTTCCCTCCCTTTGGTGCAAGAGTAACAGTGCTCAGATGCCTCCCAAAAGGAGTAACAAATTTGTTATAGCCTGATAGCACTGGCCTTTTCACATCTAGGAAAGGGTGAAGAGCAGCTTTACAGAACAAGCTGTTCTATGAGTTTTAGGATCATTTCGCTATTTCTACCATCACTGATTGTATAACACTGTGCAAATGTGTAAATATTATTGTATTTACTGCAAAGCAGGTTGTCAGGTCCAGGATCTTGGCTTATGTAACTGCCTTCGAATTTGATACCACCTGGCTTTACCTGTAAAAATATGGGAGAGGCAGAATCGCAAGAGGGATTTGATCACTGTGGTTATCAGTGCTGCAGCATCTGATTTTYAGTTGTTGTCCTCCATATATACAACCTCTAGTTCTTCATAGCAGACTCTGAAAGTTTGGGGATACCCAGGAAAAAATACAGAAATCAACTTGAGAGGGCATGTAAATTAGCAGGAGGAAAGCATTTTTGAAGATATTCACGTAGCATGCCTACTTAAGGTGAAATAAACATTCTTGCTTGCTCTCTTGCTCTGTCTGTCCTAATAAATATTTAATTTTGTAAAGCTTCAGCAGGAGTCATTAGAGAAACTCTATTAACATAAAGCTGTATTTGCTGCCCTGGTTATTTGAGTCTATTTTGGGTGCAAGGGCCTGGATGTCGCATTGGAGAGGATGTCCTGACRTGCCTCATGCCTTGGGCTGTCGGGACTGGCAGTGCCAAGGCTGGGGAGCTTGAGCAGCTGCACATTAGTACCACATTTCAGTGCCCTGAGCAGCCTTGCCCACCTTCCYGTCTGAGGAAGCAGCTCCCACTGCTCCGCTTGCCCGGGGATGTGGCTCCCTGCTGCCTGCCTGCCTGGGATTTACTGGGCTGCTCTTTCCCTTCACCCTGCCTGTGGTGCGTCTGCCTATGCGGTGGCACGACGAGTATCTGGACTGGGAGCTTTGTGAGCTGGAGCAGCTGAATGCCCCTTGTTAGGCAAAATACTCAGAAATGTCAACGTTGTTGCTCTCAAAGCTGATCTGGATGCTTTTCCCATGAGCATTGTATCCTAGGCCTGTTTTACAGAGTGGGAAATTAATGTTAGAATGTCATTATCATACCAGTAAAGATTTTATATCCAAATTAACCTGGACAKGCAAAGCTGCAAATATTTTATGAAAAGCTGCCAAAGCCCAGTGCCCTATTTTTAAGAAGACAGACGTAGAGCTTTGAATACAATTATGATTTATGTTTGAAACTTCTCAGACAACCAAAACGGGATAAAAATGTAGGCTGTAATTTGTGTGTCAGAAGTGCCATGAGCAACTGATGTGTTTCAGTATTTTACAGCATTCCAAATGCATACAGATCAGGTTTAAACCTTAATTCCGTAAAGCCTTTTTGATTAATGACATGGATAAAACCAAACAAACTGACAAAATGCCAAATTCTGTTTGGTAACTTAGAAATATTTTTGTCCAAATCCCAATACCTTATAGTCTTTTCCGTTTTATTCTTCACCTCTATGAAGGTCAGTGGGAGGTTTTCTGTTACAGGTGAGTGTGTAATGGCCTCTGTTGTTGCTGGAATTGCTTGTGAAAGGCAATTTCAGGCAGGCATCCTGCTATCTTAACTAGAAATGGTTTAGTGAAAGGGTGGGTGTTTTTTGTGATAGAAGTGTAATTTTCCCGAAGAGCATGAATATTTGCTTTGATTGATGAAAAGAGCTTCAAGTGGGAATAACCAGACAAATAAACATATTCAGCAATTCATCCTCTGACCAGCATCAAMTGAAGCTTTTGCCCGGACCAGAACCTCCTCTGGACTGCTAGTGCTTGGCCAGGAGCAGCAGAGAGCAGAAATGCTGAGGTGGGAGGCTGTGCTTTGTCCAGTGCTTTGGACACAGTGGGTATGTTGGCACTTGAGGTCGCCCACGTGGCTATTGGCCACTTTATCCCTTCCTTTTTTACTGGCTTGAGATTTGAGAAACGAGTTTTGAGGCAATATGTGTCTCAGGGAGACATTCTTTTAGTGCTCTGTTCCGTCTGGAACATTAATAAAAACCCAACTCCTCCTCTGCATGCTAGTTCAACCAGTGGCTACAGTTCAGACCTAATCATCCTGYGCCAAGGATTTAGTCTTTGTCACTTAGGTGTAACCTGAGTTGGCGGGAGCAGAATATATTTGCTCATGTCAGGGGGTGCAAGAAGGTGAATATTGAACTACTAAACCTACTGCTTTTGCAAAGCATTGAATAATAAAATATTTGAAGCCTCTAAGACACGGGATGAGTTTTACATGAGAGGCAGGTATCTCACTTTATTTTTCACTTGCTTGCAGCATGCAGAGAGGGGAATTCTGGTTTTTTTTTGTTGTTTTTTTTTTTTTAGGGGGGAGATTTGACCGCTTTGGATCACAGCCACAACAAATAGCTCAATTCCAGATCCAGAAACCTTCCCCAAGCTGTGTACAGTAAAAAGAAATGCAAACATAGTGCCAGTATACACAGGTTCAACTATATGAAACTGGTTTGCTCATGGCAGGTTGCCTTAATTAACCTTCACCTGACATGCTCTTCAAGTGCTGTTTTCCTAGTCTGGCTTCCAGCCTCACCAAACTTCTTGCTCCCATTAAATCACTATCAACGTCAACTGCTTTATGATGCTTATGAAGATGAAATCTCTTCTTTTTGGATATGTTTATTTACAGTTGTTTACACTGTCATATCCCTACTGATTAGAAACTTTTTTGTTAGGGCTTTTTTTTTTTGTTTGTTTGTTTGAGAAAAAAGGAGTGGGATTTAACCTGTCAGGAAAAGCTTGGGTTCTGTATTTTGCATTCCGCTGAGAAAGGGGCAGGTATGTACAGAAAAGAGCTCGTGTGCACGGCAGCGTGAAAAGTGGATTCTGTTCTTGGCTCGTGGGATAAGCTACTGTGCATGTACCATGAACAAACTCGAGCTACTATTGCAGAGGAGCTGCTTGTCTTTTCGTTGTATCTATGATGCCCTCCCACTAAACTAAGAGTGTCAACACAAAGTTTTAACAGAACTTAAGACRACTTTTAAAATAGATATAGACTAACTTCCTTGGGTGTATCCTCCACAGACAAGGTGCAAAGTGTGGAGTCAATGAGTGCTCGGGGTGAAACTCGGCAGCTCTCCCCTCGGCTGCTGTTGGGCCACAGCCACRCAGGGCAAGCGGAGCTCTGCACTAGGCCTCGGTGGGCCTGGGTGCTCTGCAGCTTGCATGCAGCGTGGAAACCTAGTGGGGGAAACGTTTCAGAAAACATGCAGCAGTTTTGCCCTTGGTCTTCTAATSGTTTGTCCATTGTTTCTGCACTCTGTTGTGAAAATGTAGCCCCATTTGGCCAATACCTTGGCAACTGTGCAGCTGTGTAGTGTGAACCTGTGAAATGCTGATTGATGGCTATTGCACTGCTACCGTAGCATCTTTCTCAGATATTCAGGGCATTACTTTTTGGTATCCACAAATCATGGGTAAAACATGTAAGATTAATCAGGAACAATTACTTTCCCCTAGGCCTTGTATTTTTTATTGGCTTGCCAGGTCAGGAYACTCCACAAATGACTGATTAATGGTAAATACTTACGTTGTAGCCTTTCTTAAAAACTATTTGCAGATGTATTCATTGTTAGGCTTCCCTACTATCAAATATTTACAATGTTTTGCATGCAGCCCCATGCKGTGTGCAAGTGTATTGTGTCAATAGGAAGGCTGGTATTTCCCTTGTATTTTAAGTTAACGTTTAGCTACTCAGACATATCAATCACTCCCATCTCCCTTCTGCAACATAGTCCTGGTGAAATCAGTGAAACTGTGAATGTGACATTTGGGTCTTATCCTATACGAGTCAGTAAGTAAAAATCGAATTATTATTAGCAAGTAGCCAGGATCTAATTGTCACTATCTGACTGTTACATGTTTTTGATGAACAACTCTAAATTTCTTCTAATAAAAGTTGTTATAAGATTATCATAGTGTAAAACCATGATGTAAAACTACCACAGTATTACAGTTAATAGCAAGCAAATGCTTTTTCCACCCAATAAATTATTTTCAAGGACTAACCTATTTTGTCCTTCTTTAGATTAAAAAAMTGTAACTATTTTGATTTTTGTGGTAATAATCAGATGTTTTCTTGTCAATTGAACTATTTGTAAAGATAGTTTCATTAGTTTCAGTTTGTCTGCTTTAATTTTAGTATGTTTTGTAAATTCCAAAAATGGTAAGATTAAGCTTTGCTTACCAACAGTGCAAAAGTACCTTAAGAAAAAGAACAGACATATAAACACACACGTACAATATAATCATATATGCCTTTCTATTCTGTGTGTGCCTATTGAAACCTTTCCCTATATAACATAAGTCTAAGCTTGCAAGAAACACAGCATGGATATAATGCTGATGGATATCTGACAGTTATTTAAATTTACCCATGTATGTTTGAACAAGTCATCCAAGAGTTTGGATTTATATTTGATTTTAAGTAGAGTTGATCCAAACTAATTCATTACAGAACCAACACATAACGATATTTATTTTTTTTACTACAGACTCTTATTCGCATTGCATTTATTATTCTTGTGTTTTACAGGTTTTAGGAAAAAAGCCAGAGCTTCCTGAGTGTAATGATGATGATGATGAGACAGCTGATATTATGAACAGGAGGAGTGCTAAATTGTATATGGTAAGGAGTCATCTTGCTTTTAAAAATGAGGGTCTTAGTAGTCATATATATCCTCTTCTTAGCAGGATTTTAGAGATGATCAGTTATGTAATGTTTTTATAGCTGTATATGTATATTTTATATGTATATTACTATGTGTTTTTTTTTAGTTTTTGTAGCTGATGCTTTTTCATGAAAAGGCCTGTTTTAAAACTAAAATTTATAGACATTCCATTACTTTGATATTTTTAACAAAACTGAAGCAACGAACTATTTCCAGATCTGTGCTCTCTTTTTCTTTCACAGCCAGTCTTTATTCCTTGTTCTACCACTTGACAAAAGGGGTAAAAATGTATTAACAAGAGAGAGAATATCACAGAATCACAGAATGGTTGAGATTGGAAGGGACCTCTGGAGATGATCTAGTTCAACCCCCTGCTCCAGCAGGGACACCCAGAGCATGTGGTACAAGGTGGCATCCAGGCGGGTTTGGAAGATCTCCAGAGAAGGAGACTCCACAGCCTCCCTGGGCAGCCTGTTCCACTGCCCTGTCACCCTCACAGTAAAGAAGTTCTTCTTCATTTCCCACTGCACCCCTAGACAGACCACTTTCCCTTCACCTCTCTTCCAGATGTAAAGTGTGGCTAACACTCGTGTGCCTCGGAGAGGGATCATTACGTTCGGTTAATCGGGCTAAGAAGAGTTAGGACTTAGCAATGCTGGAAGATGCTGATACAACAGCTGAGCCTACTCAGGCTAGGATTCTCTGAAAGAAATCACTTAATAGTCTATTTTTTTTCCAGAAACAAAAGGAAGAAATTTCAGTGCAGGTGTTGCTGCACAGAGCATCTTCGTGTGTGTCTCTAAGTCAGTAAAACTAAATTGTGTACCTATGGACATAATGAGCTTAAACCAAAAAATCAGGATGCATTTTGGCAATCTAAAAGTATTCTTAACGAAAAGGTAGAAAATTTGTCCTTCCATTCCTCCCAAGAAATCTGGCAGAAATTTCTTACCCTTTCTAGCAGGGGATTTGGCATATTCTGAGGGGAAAAAAGTAGAATTTTACATGTGTGATAAGGGCCATTATAATAAGACAATCATTTAGAAATCCATTGTAAAGAGCTTGCAGTGAATTTTGGATCATAAGAAATCTCAGAAAAAAATTGTGAATATCTATTCAATTCCTTTAAGTTCACAGATTCTGCAAGCAGATTTATATTAACCAAATTCTGTATGTGCTGTACATGCTGCAATAAATCAGTGAGTGTCAAAGCCAGGAGAGAGGTTTCTAGCAAATCCTGAAAATAGACGTTTATTTTTATTTGCAATATGCCATTGCTATTTCCATCTTCTGTTTTTGTAATATATGATACAGGATAAAGTGGCATATTTAAAATTAATATGAAATTTTAATTATGAAAGGAAATGAAAACTGCTAGAAAAGTGAAAGCCACAATAGTAAAGAGCTTCTTTTGCTGGCCTCTGAAGCCATATGGGAGTGAATTTTCAAGTCTGAAGTGAATTTATAAAAGTCTACATGAACTTAATTTAAAAAGTGAGAATAAACTGTGAGTTGTGGTTAGAAAGCCGATTTTTCAGCAGGTCACATGTAATAGTTTCTTTTTACAGAAGCAGCAATTATAAATGTAAATATTTCATTTGAAAAAATTGGTATAAGACTATTTTTATTGTAATTTCAAATGGTATTGTGCTGCAGGTAAGTGTACTTTTGGCTTCAGTTTGGCTTGCTTTGTAGAAGATGATGGCTAGGGACTATACCAGTTCAGTGAGGTATATAGGGTAGACCTAAGAAGTTAGAAATTTTTAACTGCAGGGTGTTCACTGAATGAGCAGTTGAATTCAGAGTTGAAAAAAAAAATTATTTTAAAAAGTTATGAGACATGGATCCAAGGAAATCACTGAAATTAACACCACATCTCCCTCTATTGAATATAAAGTGAAAAGGAAAAGGAAAATGAAAGGTCATTAGTCATCATTACTTTCTGGCATCATACAAATTTCATACAGTGTTTTGTGTAGGAGTTATTACTGATTTCTGTAGTAATTTTGGGGAAGGCAAAATTAATTTGTTTATAAAAGAACTGATCTACATCTGAAATTATGGCTTTCTTAGGTGTCGGACGCAAGTGGATCCATGAAGGTGTCAGTGATAGCAGAGGAAAACCCTTTCTCCATGTCCATGCTCTTGTCTGAAGAGTGCTTCATTTTGGACCATGGTGCTGCAAGGAAGATCTTTGTGTGGAAAGGTAAGAGACAACTTCTGTTGCAGATGTACAAGGAGCACAGAGAGATCTAAAGTCTACTCCATGGCCACTGGGCACTAGCAAGAGTTTAATACTGGCTGGACACAGTACCCAGTGCACAGTTTCTCATGTGAGCAACAATTTGTTGGCGTAGTCAGAGGACAGGGATTGCTCCTGTGAGTAGGTGGTATTCTGAGTATTTTGGTGGCATCYGTAATTTTTGATGCTTAAATACTTAACTGAGTGGCAATTATGAAGCAACCATAAATAATCCTCTTATGCATATCACCAACAAATCTCTACCTTCTGGAAAAAAAAATCTATAAACCTAATGGATAGATATTATTTATCCATAGAATGTTTGTGGGAGGTGTGAAATTTAAAGAGGAGTGGTCAATACCATTCATTCCACACCAGTGTTTCAAGCTTTAACTGAAAGCTTAATCTTATAACCAATTTTATGCTTCCTTTTTTTTTTTTTTTTTTTTTTCTAAACATTTCTGTGTACAATCCTGAGTGCTGTGGGTGTATTTGCTATTGTGTTGGGTGAGCATTTCCTTGGAGACTGCTCCTGGGGAATTGGGCCTGCACTCCTTGTAGCTGGGACATTACAGGATTACCATTGCCTCCAGTGCAGGGTATCTCCTCTCCTCTGGCCCAGATTGTTTGTCAACTATTCTGTGGCATCTGCATTTCTTTTCACCATGTGCCRTAGCAAATAATTAATCAGCACAGTTGTCAAGCTTTTGAAGTCAGCCCAGGAAGCACTGTAAGCATTTTGCCTGAATATGTAATTCGCAGCTAGGGAAGTCTCCTTTATAAAAGAGTATTTGTGGGGCACTCTGTGACCTAAATTCTTCCTAATCCCCTGCCTCCTGCTTTCCACTGCCTACCTGATGGCTTCTAGAGCAATCAAACCRACAAGACTAGGCATTTCTATACAATTTATACATTGAATATGGCCATACATCCTCCTCTGTGCATCATCACTTTGCTGCTCTGGATAACAGTAACATGTGGGATAGGCTGGAGCCTCACTTTGTGCTAGGAGGCTGCAGTTGCCATCTCTGCTGGAAATCTTCAGACTTGTAARTTGAGGAGCGTGAATTACTTTGCTAATGGTCTTCTTCAAAACTGTCTATGATGAATAGCTTAGCAGAGAATCTTATTAGACTAAGAGGTCTCCTGAGTATAGTTTTTGGCAGCCAGCTGGGACACAGAACTGATGCACAAAATCCTCCCACAGAGACTTTCAGAGGTGTCTAGTATCTCTGGCTGAGAAAAGGGAACAATGAATGGGGCAAGGTGGTGATAAGTGGTACAGCATGCCTGGATTAAATAGTAGCTTCGTCTTAGCCTGTGGAACAGTGGTGCTGCCTGAGGAAAGGAAGGCAGCTCTGRAGAACAGCTTTATTTAACACACTGCAGTCCAGCAAGGAAAGATTCAGAGAAAGATACCCAGGTGTTCTTACTGGGTGCATAGCTTAAACCAAGCAGATATCAGAAGATTTTTTTTTAATTTTTCCTTTTGATAGAAACTTGTATTAAGCAAAAAAAAAAAAAAAAAAGAAAAAAAAAGTTAAGGGTTTTTTTTTTTTTTTTTTTCCATTTTAGCCATGTTAAATGTAAGATGCTGCATTTTGGCTACGGAATCTTATTGGCTTTTGGCTTTGAATCTTATTACTCATGCTGACCATCATTTGTGTTTGTGCAAGACTAAGACGAGAGCAGTGTGGATGAGGACRTGGCTCAAGGATGTGATGTTCATTGCAAAATTTTCCCTGTACATTTTGCTTTGCAGAATCAGTGATCTTAATCCCATTTCCCATYCATATTGTTATCTTTCCGCTTTAACCAGGCAAAGATGCTAACCCACAAGAGAGAAAGGCAGCCATGAAGAATGCTGAGGAATTCATTCAGCAGATGAATTATCCTGCCAACACACAGGTGTGATCTATTTATAAGATGATGCCAGGAAAGACTGTTAAAAGCTTTGTTTTTAAATCAGTGGACATATTTTTAAGGGCTTAACTAGAAACAGTGTTTCACAAACATATAAGTTGGAAAAATTTGTTTCAAATACTGAGAAAGTGTAGAAAAGATCAAATAATCAGAAAATAATCAATAACATACTCATTGTTTTTCATTCATTTAAATTAAGACTTTTTGTATCTTGATTTTTAAGTGAGTTTAGAAATGAAAAAAATAGCCAGTAGACAGAATTACCAGAATGATTTATTTCTCTTGATTTGAGTGTTGYTCTCTTTGAGCAAAATGCGGCCTCCGTGGCTGTTTCCAGACAGGCAGGCCTGCTGTGATTTAACCTACAAGTGATGTAGGCTGACTGCACAAGTTGCATCATTTGACGTGATCTCTGAATTACAAACAACTTACAAAATAAACCATCAGCTACCCAGAAAACTCCATTCTTTGACATTATAGTTCAAGCAACAGTCAATTTTGTTTTCCGTCTGTTTCATGTGTCTTGTTTCATTTCAGATTCAAGTTCTTCCCGAAGGAGGTGAAACACCAATCTTCAAACAGTTTTTCAAAGACTGGAAGGATAAAGATCAAAGTGATGGCTTTGGAAAAGTTTATGTCACAGAGAGAGTGGCTAAAATTGAGCAGATTGAATTTGATGCTACCAAGTTACATGAGTCTCCACAGATGGCTGCCAAACATAATATGGTTGATGATGGTTCTGGGAAAGTAGAGGTAATCTTTGTGTTGCATCGAATTGTAATTTCTTCTGTTTTGCAGTTTAAACTGTTGTGTGCTGTTGCTCTGATCCCTGTCCCCCTAGCCCCCCGCCAAAAAAAAAGAAAAAGCCACTTTTAAGAGGAAAAGGAATCCCTTGGTCTGTTGAGTTGTGTTATTTTGTGAAATCTTCTGATGCTCATAGATGATGGTTCAAGTCATCAGTAGAAATAAAAGAACAGAAATAATTCCCCTTTTAAGTAACACATGTTAAAGGAATATTTTAAAGGAGCACTTTTACCTCACATCAGCCTGATATTTGAAATGGTAAACTTGCTCCTGGTGGTAGAAACTCATTCTGGATCTTTACCTACAGTTTCATTGTCATATCCTCTGCAACTGCACCCTAATGTTTCAGATGGTACCCAGATTTGAGCCTAGCAACTGAGATAACATTTTAACAGTATGTTTTTGGTAATTCAACCAGGCTGTACTGCATCAAATGGGAAGAAATCTGCAGATCGCTGTGTTACCTACCTGTGGTGTACCTTTCCCATGTGATATGATAGTTTTATGATGAATCATAACGTTCTACCATTCATGTAATAATATAATCTTAAGTTGCTAAGAAATGAACTTAAATGTGGCATTATGAGATAGCCGTGTGGCATTAAAACATCAAGACAAAGGAAAGTTTTCTGCAGTGGTTTGTTAGTGATCGCATTCAGAAGAAACTTTCCAAATGTTGTTCAAAGGACAACAGAGTAAATCGCTTCTCTGAGTTTTTCAGGATGAAGTTCAGCCTCTTCTAGTGATTTCTGTGTATTTCTAGATCTGGCGTGTTGAAGACAGCGGCAGAGTTCCTGTGGAGCCTGAGACATACGGGCAGTTCTATGGGGGTGACTGCTATATTATACTCTATACTTACCCTAAAGGGCAGATCATCTACACGTGGTATGTTTGGTCTGCTTTACGCAGATCCTCAGCCTGTGCATATTATTCTATGCTGATTTTATATCGTGTAGAAAACAACAGAATTGTGTAAATGCAAAAATGCAAGATTTTTTTTTTTTTTTTTGTTCCTCGTTCTCTGTAAGTTCTGGATCATGCTGAAATTGATTTTAAACAGTTATTTTTTTATTGTCATTCTCAGGCAAGGAGCTCAGACTACAAAAGATGAACTGACTGCATCTGCATTTCTGACTGTTCAGCTTGATCGGTTATTGAATGGTCAGGCTGTGCAGGTTAGTATCTTTCAGATTAAATTCAACAAATATAGGATATGATATCGTTTCAGAAACAAGAATTGAAAGGAGGATAAATCTTTTGAATACTGAGAATATCAGCTGCTCATGGCAACTCCTGTGCATGCATTTGCCGATGTAGTATCTTATTTAACTTTTGTGAGTACCTGAAATAACTTATGTTTTAGCACAGATTGGTGGCATGGAAGTTAACATGGAACACTGTATACCTCCTAGCTCACCTTGTGCAGGTGCCCACACTATTAATTTATTTTTTCAGAAAATGATAACCAGTCTTTAAGCACTCAGTGCAATTTACATCTTTTTCTTGCATTTCAGCTGTTTTGTTAAAAGGAAAGCAAACAAACTTGTATTCACACAATCTTTTTGCCATTCACATATTTATGAGGTAAAACCAAACTACCTGTAATCTGAGTTCACTTGGAAAAAAAATAATTTATTTTCTGCAGCTATTGTCTTTTCCTCTTACAGCTAGTACTGTATTCTCCTCATATTTGCTTTATAATGCATTTCTTACCTGGAGGCAGTAATCTTTGGAAAATGAAAAGTACTTTGCAAAGCACTATGTACATGTCTGTAGCCTTAACCAGGCAATTCTGTATTTTCCTTAGCTATTATTAATCTTCACTTTTATTTTCCTCACATGTCGTGCAGACTAACTTCAAGGTACATTTTAGGATTTAACTAATTTTCCAGCCTTTTCTTGCTGGGAGACTTGTCCCAGTTTTGCTCAAATTAATGAAAACCTTGTTTGAAAGATTGTTCTTCTATGTCCTTAGTTTTTGCACATGCCACAGTAGATGATGTTTGGGATCAGAGAAAAATCCTTTAATAAAACAAAGGATTTTTTCCTTACCCCTGAAGCACAGGCATATGTTGCACGTGCAGACTATTTGGATAACTGGCCATGGACTCCTTTTGTCAACAGAGATTTCCCGCTTGGCTAAAACTTGTCGAGAGTCCATTCCATCCCAATATCCAGGTATTGATGAAGACACTAAACAGACCCTGTCCCCTATGAACTCCTGGGGGACACTATAAGTGATAGGCCTCCATCTGCACTGTGTGGTGCTGATGACCTCACCCTGAGGCCAGCAGTTCAGCTAGTTTCTGTCCACCTCATTAATCACTTATCTGGTCTGTACTTCACTGGCTTATTTATTAAGTTGTTATGGGAGACACTGTCAAAAGGCTTGTTAAAATCAAGGTAAACAAGATCTACAGCTCTGCCCTCATCCTCTAAGCTAGTCATCACATCAGGCTATCAGATTGCTGAAGCACAGTTTTGCCTCCCTAATTCCACCCTGACTATTGCCAGTCACTTTCTTGTCCGGCTTGTGTTTGGACATGGTTTCCAGGATTAATTCTAGGATTACATCACCTTCCCAAGGACTGAGGTGAGGCTGACCAGCCCGGAGTTCCCTGGATTCTCCTTCTGGCTCTTCTTGAAGATAAGGGTCACATATTCTACCTTCCAGACACAGAAACCTCTCCTGACCACCATGACCTTTCAATGATAACAAAGAGTGACCTCTCAGTGCCATCAGCAGGTGTGAGTTTATCCTGCTAGGACCTATGGACCTATGTGGGTCAATTCCTAAAAAAAAAAAAATCCTATATTTGATCAGATTTGAGCACAATATGGTCCTGCCTCATAGTCAAGGCCAACTAACATTACAATAATAATTACATACTAACTGCTGTAATAAAAAGACACTTTACAAGTTTTATTAAAAGCTGAAGGAGATCCATCTCATTGCAACGGACATGTTAAAAATACTGTTTTAACCTGAAATTAAATTAAACAAATATATATGTGTATATGAATATTATACAAATTTATATGAATATATATGAATCTTTAGAATGTACTGCCTATACAAAACACTTGGATTACCCTTATTTAAAAAGGTTAAAATGCGCTAATTTGTTTAGTCACTAGATGGCACTACAATACAAATTGAAATAAAAAAAAGACCAGTTTCAATATTTGTTTTGCAGAAAGATGTTCCCCATAGCATTTTCYTCCCTGCATTAAATTTCCTTTTTTTTCTGCATTTGGAAAAAAAAATGTATTTTCAAAATACAATTTGGAAAAAAAAACCTTGCAGTTTGGCACCTACAAGCTTACATGTTCTAGGATATCCTTATTGGGAATTGACTGATTTTGTTGGTGTATCCAGCTATGAGATAACTAAAAGCACCTGTTTCTGCTGCCTGTCACGAACATGGTGTTTCCCAGTCCTCCTCCGTGGCAGAGCCTTCGAGTACAACACGAGCACCCCTGGGAGCCGATGCGTTGGGCTGCCCAGCGGGAGCAGCCTTGGCGCTCGCCCTGCCGGGAAGCGCTGCCCAGGAGTGCTGGGCAGTGACACTGAGCTGCTTCTGGGATCACAGAGCCCTCTCCTCTCTCTCCATTTCACCCTGGGAGCAGCACTCAGGAGGAGCAAGGAGAAGGTCGGGAGACTCAGCCCTTGCTCTAGGCAGGGGCAGCGGTGCCAGAGGAGTCGGAGCCTCTTGGGGATCGCACTGACACCCGTGGGGATCGCACTGACACCCGTGGGGATCGCACTGACACCCGTGGGCTCCACAGCACCCGTGGGGATCGCACTGACACCCGTGGGGATTGCACTGACACGCGCAGCCCTTGCAGCCCCTGGCTGAGTTCAGCAGACCTGCTGGAGGCCGATGCTGCCAGCCGAGCGACGTGTTTTGCACATAAAGGAGAGCCAGGGGGACACCTCAGAGTAATTCCTGCTTGCTTCCTGCTGGGGCACTTTCCCTCGCATTCCTGGAAGGCGATTTTCACTTCCTGCCTTCACTTTCCTTTTTTTTTTTTTTTNTTTTTTTTTTTTTTTTTTTTTTTTCTCCCTTGCTTTTCTCTTCTGTCCTTCTTTGTTTTTCCTTCATCTCATGTGCAATGCAAGTCAATTCTTTTTTGCATAAAGCAAAAAATTGAATAGAGGAGAGAGAAAAAAAACAGTTTAGCCTTTGGCAGTCGCCTTTCTGTTTCTTTGTGAGTGAAAAAATACAGGATACTGTTATAAGTGAAGAATCTGTAAAACTCCATGAAATGACAGTTCTTTTGTAAAAGAAGAATTTATTTATTACAGTATAGAGAATCAGTTAAACATTATGTTACAAGTCTGAACAATATCATTGTATTAGCGTGATTTATAGAAAAAATAATCTCAGGAATGCTATAACTTTAATGTCTCTGGAACTGTATTGTTAAATCTTCTCATTTTGCCACTTCTAATTCTTGCTAAGTTGCTCACCGTTATGGGCTAACACTCCCTATGCTATCCAATGAAGACCTAAATTAATTCCCATGTTCCTTTTTGTTTCTGAATTGTACTTCATGCATATGCAGATCCGAGTCAGCCAAGGCAAAGAGCCCGCACATTTACTGAGCTTGTTCAAAAATAAACCCCTCATTATTTACAAGGATGGGACTTCAAAGAAGGAAGGTCAGAAACCTGCTCCCCCAACACGACTCTTCCAAATCCGCAGGAACCTGACATCCACTACCAGGATTGTGGAGGTAAGGAGAGGTATTCCTTTGAATAATAGTATAGCTGCCTGTAAATATTCTTTCCCTTCAATAATCCTTTTGGGCAGTCAGAATTTGGCAGGAACACAGAATTCCACATCAAATCAACTGCTTTGTATGACTAATAAAATACTAGTCATTTCAAAGAAAATTGTTAGAAAATACTTAGTGAATAGTCAGCTGACAACAAACAGACAGAAAATCAAGGACCCTTACGGGCAGTAATTCCTACCTCCAGATAGTCCCAAGTTTTGTTCTTCCAGCCAATTCACTATTTCAGGTTAAATCTCTGTTTCATAACTGGGGACAAACTGCACAGAAGCACAGCCAATTCACATCTAGCCCCATATTTTATATAAACATGCAAAATAGAGATCACATTACTTGAAAATCTGAAGAATAAAATAATGTCCTTCTTGACCTAGGTTGATGTTGATGCAGCATCACTGAACTCCAACGATGTCTTTGTTCTGAAACTGCCAAACAACTCTGGCTACACCTGGGTTGGAAAAGGAGCAAACAAAGATGAGGAACAAGGAGCTCAGTACATTGCCAGTGTTCTTAAATGCCAGGCTCCTAAGATTAATGAAGGCCAGGAACCGGGTTAGTATGAGGCCACGTTCTTGCTCTTAGGCAGCTGAGAATACCCTGTGCTGTATGGAAATGAGGCCTAAATTTTATTTTTTTTTTCAGTGATAGATTTTGTAGGCAGAACCGTATGCTCACTCTCTCTCTCTTTGAAAATGTAACCTGAGGTTTTACTGGGAAGGTCTGTCCAGAACTGGTAGATGCATGAGCAGTGCAATTCCCTGGGCATCTGTAGGGCTGTAGGGGACTGCAGGGGAATGTGGTCTTTAAAATCCTGAGAGATGAGAAGGGGAGCAGGCGTTGCTCTTGCTGCATGTGTGGTATCTTCATTGTTATTAACAAGCTGCAGGAAGAAGCTTGCAGAAAATGCACTCATCTTTGAGACAGAACAAAAAAGTCATTGCTTGGGGATTCCTGGCATAGTGTCCAACAAACTAAAACATAAAATGGGAAAGCCACTGCTGAATAAATAGATGTGGATAAACTGCTGAATAAAGTGTTGTGGATTTCAGGGGAATTCTGGAAGGCACTTGGAGGTAAAAAAACCTATCAGACATCATCACAACTCTTAACAAAGACTGAAGATCATCCACCTCGTCTGTATGGCTGTTCTAATAAGACGGGCAGATTTATTGTGAGTATATAGTATACACTTTCCCTTCTGTTTAATTATACAGTTTCCAATATATTTTAGTTAGGGAATCAACTGACGTTGAATGATTTGGAGGAATCTGACTTTTCTTTGTGCAGTGAGCAGTGTTTGGCAAGAGGTAGGTCCTCTGGAACAATCCAAGTGTAAAGAACAGACAGAAAAATAAATACTGGACATGTTAGCAGAGAGAGTCTGTTCCAGCAGGGGAGCAGAGGCTCACAGATGCAAGACAAGACTCTTTTGCAGTCAAAACCAGTTGCATTCTTGCAGAGCATTGTGAGACTACTGTCATTTCTCTGAGAAACTGCAGGTCACTGCTTTGCCCCTTACATGTTTGATAGTGGTAGTGTGGAAAAGAAATGCCTCCTGAGGCTTTGCCAGGAATCCCTAGCAGCCTGAAATTTTCCATAGAGATTTAAGACCAGTAATTATGCCTCTAAGTATTGGCCTGTGATCAAGGAAGTAGGAAGACTTATTTCCTCAGCAGAAATACCCAGAGCTGCATGAGTGAATTAGGTTTAATTGCTTACTGTGCTTGGAAAGGCAAGATGGTGACACTGTTTGGCAAGGATGCCCTAGTACTTACGTAGGGAACATAATTTCCTGCAGTTTCCTTAAGGAACAGACCTTTCATCTGGAGAAAGATAAAACAAACAGAATACTTTAATACGGATTTTCAAATCTTATGAGAGTAGTGGAGAAGTGTATTCCTCTAGCACCCTTCTAAAACACTCTTGTAAAACACATATTAGAACCAACTTCTCTGTAATAGTCTGCAGGGAGCTACGGCCTGGTGGCTTTTTGTTTCAGATTCCCTGTCTCCCTGAGAATGCCCTAGTAACAGAGCCACTGCTGCTAGAGCTCACGTGAAGAGCAGGCAGGTCAGATCCCTCTGGCCACCACAGCCCAGGCAGGACAGTGGGGAAAGGAGCCCGTGTTTTGTAGCATCTGCTTACAGGCCCTTAGCCCTCCTACGTGACCAAGCATTGCCCAAGCCTTGAATCCCCTTTAAAGGCTGCGGGCTGACCACTAGCAAAATTGCTGTCTCTCTTGCTCTCCTACTTAACTGTGAATGATTGGAAGAAGTTAGAAATTTGCCTTTTCTTTGGGGACCAGTCCTCAGTGGCTTAGTGTCTAGCAGACACTAAGTGTCCCATTTTCAAGTGAATGGAAGGTTTGCTTGGATACATATTTCAGCCCTGCGCTCATCCACTGCAAGTACAAGCAATTTCTTTTCCTTATTAATGAATCTAAGCCACATGAATACCCCACCTTTGTGATTGATTTAGTTTGTTTGGTACAAGTCACTGTATGGAAATTTCCCCATCCTTTTCTTCTGCCAGCCCTTAGTCCCAATTTATAACAGTCACAATTACAATAGAAACCTATGCCTCTCCTGAGGATATCCTATCAGCTCTGACAAACTGAGAGTTGATTTTATAGGACATGTGATTGTATGTGATTTGTTTCCTCTCAGGGTAATATTCTTCACACATTCATCAAATCAGTTTGAGACTTCACCCTACAGGAACAAAAAGAATTGCACGGCACCCTTAGCCCTTAAAAAAAAAATCTTTGCTCTTTACAAAATCAGAATATCTTGACAGATAATTAAAAAAAATAATAAAAAATGTGCCATCATCCGTTTCAGATTGAGGAAGTCCCAGGAGAATTCACTCAGGAGGATTTAGCTGAAGATGATGTCATGTTGCTGGATGCTTGGGAGCAGGTAGGCTGTGTACTTTACCACTGCTTTTTGTGGTGACAAGAATTTGTTCTTAACAACCACCTAGAATGTAAGGCAACAGGAAAAAAGCCATGTTTGTGAGAACAGGAGAACTTGTTTTCTTGAAATTATATTAAAGGGACCTATATTTTCTCTTGTGCACTATGATGGGTTAGTGTGAACATACATGGTTGAATTACATGAACATACATGGTTGAAAACTTAGGAGGAGGGTCCAAACACTGGCCTCTGATTCTGACTTCTTCAGAAGACCTGAGTGGAGACTGATATTGTCTCCGTCATTGTCCCAGGTTCACTGAATTCATGGAATTCAAACCAAGGACTTCTCTTGTTCTGCATTTTTTACCTGCACCTGGAGAGTAATTTGCTTTCCAGTCTGCAAAAGCCATCCATGAGAGAGGTGACTAAAGTCCCTTTCCCCAGAACGCTTCACGTCAGGCCTCGCAGGGCAAACAGAGGAGTGATATTTCAGAGTACAGAACTAGAGCAACAGAAAGGAAATGCAGGTAGTATAGGAGAGCTGTATATCTCTTTTCATAATGCATGATCTTTCTTCTGAGGGAATCAACTATTTTGCGTTTTGTCTGCTGTACATAAAATCCCCATAAATTTATTTGCAGGTTTTCATCTGGATTGGGAAAGATGCTAATGAAACTGAGCGACAGGAGTCTGTTAAATCAGGTAAGAAAATCAATTTTACATATTTCTGAGTGAAGTAGCATCAACAGTACTTAAATGAGTGAAAAAGATGATACCGAAGAAATAGCTATGTTTACAGTGCTGTTTAAAGGGGTTATTGACCTTATTAGGATTTAACCCTAGAGAATATTTTCTCCTTTAAATGTGATTTAAAACTCATTCTGTGTTTCTAATCTGTAAGTTTATGAAGAGAAAAATTAGCCGACATAGCATTACCAAACCACAGGGCTTTTTAGAGAGTGTACAGAAGTCCATGAAAAGAACCTGCCCTGCAAGAGAGTGTGAGTTTCAAACGCACGTATTTATTGAGTTGTACCCTGCACTAATGTTTATAGTCAGAGGAATACTGACAAATCTTCAGGTCCTTACACTGCTACCCTTTACTTAGCTAAGTTTGGGAGAAGAAATTCCTATTCCAGAACAAATCAAGGCAACTTATTTGGAAATGCAACTCTGAAAACAAAACCACGCGGTCTTGGATGGGATTTCACAGAGCGGAATTGTCATGGCAAAGTTCCTGCTGAAATGCTGGCCCCAGTACAGCTAAGGTTCCCTGCTTCCTTCCCCAATATGCACATTGCCATGTGGAGGGAAATGATGCTGGATGCAGCGTCTCCCGGGGAGAAGGGAGAACCAAGCAGGAGCATTTGCCCAGCGCCAGCAAAAGCCTTTTGCTGCAGAGCCAAAGCACTGCTCTACGGGAAGGAAACGGTCACAGTAATGATCACCGTGCTTTAATCTTGTGAAAATTCATTCACTGGCAGTTGGGAGAAATCAGCAATTATGTGATCATTTCATTGCCTTTGAAATAATTTAATCGAATGCTTTCCTATAATAGCTCTGGGATCTTTTGCTAGGGCTTTTAATGTATGTTTTATGTCAAAGGAATGAACTAATATTTTACACATTTTATTTCTTCTTTCTCTTTAGCCAAGCGCTACATTGAAACAGATCCTTCTGGAAGAGATAAGGGGACCCCCATTGTTATTGTGAAGCAAGGATATGAACCCCCGACATTCACAGGCTGGTTCCTGGCCTGGGATTCCAATAAATGGAAAAACTGATCTGCCCAGGAACGCCTCAACTTCAAGCCAAAGAATGATCAGAGCACAGCTAGTATTTTTAAGCATAAGCTTGTGCATCTGTTGTTACTCTTTCTCCAGCTTTGATATATTTCTATGAATAACCCAGAAATTCTCAGCTCTCAGAAGGCTAAATGCTAATGGTGAATGTGTCAGATGGGCTGGGTGGGGCTCTGCATGTAGTAAAGAGCAAAGCTCCACTCATACTTTGGTTAATTTATGAATCCTTCAAACAAATACCATAGATGATTTTATTGTAATTTTATGTGCTAAAATGGAAGCGTGCCTTCATTTAAAAATTCAAGCTAATGCCAAAGAAATTGCTTTAGATTAAGGTCAGCATATTTTTGCACAGAATTTGGCCCAATAAAGCACTAGCTCTGTTGCAAGGCCAAGACTGCAATAACAGACCAAAATATGCTCAGTTATGTAAAACTTCAAAGGATGCTTGATCCAGAGTGAGAGCTTTGTCGTGCAGGGGACAGATACAGGCTGCTCACTTTGATGAAGCTACATGCATCATGTTTACTTTGTAGACTCCATCTGCTAAGTTGATGCATTTTGAGCTTATGTATGATTGCAAGAATGTGATGTCAACGAAGGCTTCTGCAAAGGACTGCAGGGGTTTCTTTAGATCTTTGGCTTCTTTAGATCTCTCAGGATAAGCCAGCCTCCAGTGCCAGGCCTCTTAACCACAGCTCTTAAACACATGCTAATCTGCTACTGCCTCTAAATGGTAGCAGAAGTGGTACCTCTATAAATACTTACTCTGCCTTCCTTGGATTTCAGTGAAGCTACAGTTGGTTTCAATTGCCTTACTCTGCAGTGCTCATTATAAACTGCTGTGCAGCTCTTTTCCAGCATATAGACTGCTCACATTATAAGGTACAGGATATGTTTCTACTCATTTTCTGTAATAAGTCTTAGACATATACCAACCACCTCAACCCTCTTCTGTCTCAGTAGCATTTCACAACCTGGGAATATGGAGTTTTGAGTATGTACCATAGAATATGGCCCTTTCTTTCCCTCAGACACAGTTATTTTAGCTTACTTTTATTCTGGTGAATCTAAGAGTAGACTTTCAAAGTGTTTTTTTTTTATTGTAGTTTAGCCAAAAAAGTCTCCTTAAAGGCAGTGAGGAAAATTCTGCTTTGAATTTTTATCTTCAACATTTCTTTGGATACTTACCCCATAATGCTTGTTTTAGAAAACAAGTTGTATAGCTGTCGATCATGTTAATGTGGCTTTTTAATAAAGGCATTTTATACTTTTAAGTTAATTTGGAAAATGAAATTATAGACATTTTTGTATTTTAGTAACCTGATTCATTTGTGATTTTGAATCTGGGTAATGCAAAAGGTCAATTTAGCCAGAGCTCATCATCAAAATCATTGAAAATAAGAAATGAGAATCTAATGGATCAATTATGCAAGTTTGTTAAGCTTTACATTTCTTTTTATTTTTTTAGAAAAGGAAAAAAAAATGCTAATATATTTGTGCTGTATTTGGATGCAATTTCATTAAAATAAAATTACAAAAGGAGTATTTTATATGCAGACCTTATCTTCCTACCTCCACCTATTTCTCACATATTGTTAGTCAGCAACTAACTGATTAACTATGTCTGGCAAAACCCACTGAAAAAAACAGCAGCTAAATGATTCTTTTTAGATGGATAACACTTAATATTTTACTGTGGTACCATATTAGCCAGTAGAGACTTAACTCTTCCGAACAACTTAACACTACAAATTTATGTGAGCCTCAGAGAACTGGGTGTTTATTAGTACATAATTCCATCTTTAAGAAAAACTAACACTGTTGTAAAAATCTTTGGCTTTATAATTTTGTGCTTGAAAAAAAAAATGGCTATAGGAATGATTATTTTAAAAGATTGCAAGAAAGGGGTATATGTTTGTTTGTTTTACAGGATGGGTCTTTTATTTGTGAGACTAGAAGAGATACCCTTCATGTGCTGGAAGAAGCACAATGAGTTTTTCAAATATGCACCTAGTACCCTCCGTAGAGTCACTGAATAATATGTCATGATCTAATGGTATTCTTTTACATATAAATATGAATATGTAATTATTTATTTAAAAAACAAAACAGTTGCATTAGCTCCTGAACTGTATCACACCAAGATTTGCCTTGCTTGTACATGCATGTTTTAACTGTGTTTCAGAACACTGTTAGCACTGTGGTCCTCATGGGCTTGTGTCACACATTCTGCAACTCTGGGAAGACCAGTTTTTAGTTCCTGGGTTCCTGGCCTAGACATTTCAGTGCTACAATACATATTCCTGGCATATTGATTGTTCTCAGATGACTGAGAACTCATAACTGAACAACATTCTCAACTATATTTTAGCATACTACATGATAGCAACATATTTTACTTGCCAGCACATTGCTTTTCTGATATCTATATAAATAAAAATATGGAATACACACACACAAACATATATGTATATATATATTTATATATTATATTAAGAGAGAATTATATCTAATTCCTAAGTGCTGTAAGTCCTTAAGTGAGGCAAAAGGGTATTTAGTAACTTGGTAACTTGCAGATATCAAACTCTAGATGTCTAAGTATATGATTTTCTTTTTCCCTAACAGCTGTAAAGTGCTAGGTGATGATTACAAATGCAGCATTTAATCATAAAACAGTCAGATGCTTCAGAAAATTAACTGTGGTAAGCAAGGTCTGTGAAAAGGTACACATACTGTTCCTTTAGAAATAAACGTATTGGGAAACCAAGCGGTGAGGCTGGAAGAACCTGAACAGTATCCAACAGCAAAGCCCAGTGACAGGACCATTTGCTGTAACAGTAAAACAGTAATTAAATAAATATCTTGACCAATGCTGGGGAGGGGGGTGTGGGGGGGAACCTACCTCTGCACGTCACTCCTCAAAGAATTTCACAATTATCAGGAACAGCGATTTCACAAGTGCTGCAAATGCCAACACCAGGTGATTCTAACACCACTTACCTCCAGTTGACCATGTGGAAGCAGTTACAACAACAATCCTGATTCCTGGGGTGAACCTAACGCACGTTTAGTCCTGGGCTTAGATTTGTGCAGAGGTGGCTCGGACTACCCTGAACTGCTTGCAGTAAGCACAGCAGCATGGCTAGGTGCATGTTTAATCAGAGTATGAGCAAGGCTGCAGTTTTTCTGTTGATGTCAATGATTACTGCCTGACCTTCCTTCTGATAATTAGGTGGTCTCCTGTTTGACTTTAGGGAGAAGTTAGCTGTTGTATCAGGGAAAAGAGATAGGAGTAGCAAGGAGTGTCTTATCAGCAAAGACAACAGGTAAGCAGCCCATCCCAACAATCCCCCAGGTTCCTTCTAGATATTCCTAGTGAACAGTAGGTATCTCATGCCTACTTGCAAGCTCTGCCCTAGCATTTGCGTGTTCTAGTATCTGCTACCTAAATATCCTACCTGTGCACCCTTTTCTTGCTCTAAGTGCTGCCCTGCACAATCTGCAGTCCTCTTTGCTTCTTGAGGATAAAGGAAATTTCCTGTAAGCTAAAATATGTCAAGCCAATTCTGTTTTAACACTTTTAAATCAATTCTTGAACTGGGGAAGCACAATGATGAGATTCTAATGTATCCAAAGACCCAAATGATCTGTTTTAAGACTGTGTGAGGAAAGACAAATTTCTCCTGCCTTTAAAAAGGCATCAGAGAATGATTTTGGTAATCTGCTTTTTTTTGTTTGTTTGTTTGTTTTTAGTTTTGGACAGCCTTCTGTAACCTGAAGTGATGAATTTCTGTGCTTCTATCCTCCACCCATGAAGCGACAATTGCTTCCATCCTTTGCTTACTGACAGAGCTGCCCTGTCATTTTCTGTACGTTTGTACAAGGCCTGACCTAGTGCAGTCACTTCTTGACGCTGCTCTCGTGTGCGTTGTGATCATAATCCAGACAGCTGCCACAGTTAGCAGGGCCGGAGCAAGCAGCCTTGCTCAGGGCAGGCTATTAACAGGGCACCTGCCATGCTAGGAGCTCCCTAAAGACTCATCTGCACTACTCACACACTGTGCAGCAACAAGGATGGCAGGGGCAGCAAAGAAAGGGCTGGAGCCAGCAGGGCAGAGTAGTAAATACAAAATCTACAGAGCATAGTTCTAGGTTGGTGGCTAGATCACTCAGTAATCATCTTTGCACCTGTACTAGAGCCAAATTTCTTTTCTAGAACAGGAGCAGCTGCTCTGGGGACAACAAGTGTTAGGGGAAGATGAAGTTCAGCTGTGTTGAGAAGCCAACTGTGAAATCTCAGGCTTCTCTTTACCTGGACCACAGAAAGTGAGAATGGTTGCTTTTAGTTAACTTTCCTGATCTTCTCTGTCCTCCAATCTTCCTGATGCTCTTGTTACAGCCAACTCTCTGCTCATTTTCCTTCTGGAAAGTTAGTGGGTTGGTTTCCGGGGTACTCGAGGACTGTGGCCATTGACAGTTTATTGGATCTTTGTTCTACTGCCACTGAATTGTACTGGATAACAGACACGCACTGATACAATTGTAATCCAGAGATCTACTGCAAAATACACAAACTGTGAGAAATGCTGTCAGCTGTCACTGGAAGGAAGTGTTAAGATAAATGCTGAATATCTTGCTCGTTTTGAAACTTTGGGTTCTGCATTTTAATGATCTCTCCAATGTTGAAGTCTTCTGGCTGCTGCTTTTGATTTCATGTAAAAGGAAGAATGGTAAATGCTTGGATGGAACTCCATTCTTGCCTAAATGGAGTTAAGGAATGCCTGGTCATTGTAAATAGTTTTATCTGAACTTTGTTTTGCCAGAGATCTAAAAAGCTCTGAAAGTTGTAGGCTTTGTGTGTCGATCTGTCAGGCTCAGCACGGCATGCTCAGCGATCTGAAGGCAGAGCAGTGTTCCTTCCCCGAAGGCTTCCACGTGGATTTGTGCAGAAATGAAAGACCTCACAGACATCAGTAGTCCTAAAGAGCAGGGCTGGATGCTCATGTGAGACTCAGCAGGAAAGACAGTCTAAGACTTAGCAACAAACTTTAACTGAGTGACCTAAGGTTTCACAGGCCTCCTATCAATGAAGTAGGTGGGTGGGATGAAAGCATTTTCCTCTTTGAAGGCCTCTGATGATCCAGATTGGGGCTGAATGTCCTCGGATGCTGTGTATATATCATATAACTCACCATTTGAGTTCCAAAGACCTCATCTCATGTAGAATTCCCTAAACAGTCTGTTTCGGATTATGGTATGTCCATGCTTATTTTTCTCCATTCATTTCTCCTTTTTAAAGTCAGCACTGCTGACTTGATTTTCATTAAATATTCTAGCAAATCGTATAGTAGAGAAGTCTTAAATGGAGTAAATTAAACAAAACAAAAAACAAGCAGACCCCCTAATCGTTATAGCATCCTGTTGCCTCTTCTGGTTTGCAAGATTCCATCTGGCATTTTCCTTAATCATTTTTGTGTGTCCTGTCCTGGCAGAAGCGTAGAGGGCCTTCAAAGATGGGAAGGCAATTGTGGAGCTCAGCCTTTTAGGGCAAAGAATTACTGCCTGTTGCAGTCTGCATCYCCTGGAGTTAAGTGACATAATAAAAACTTTGGCCAACCAGACTATTCCTGCCTAAATTTGTATGTTTGCCTTCCTTAGTTTAAACTCTGCTAGAAATATAAGTTGTGCTTAATAATATAGATCACTGTCATGTTCCCATGGGCCAAAAGAGGAGAATCCCATATTCTAATTTAAAAAAAAAAAAAAAGTGTATATAAGTGTATATATTAAAAATCTATTTTTTTGGCAAGTTTTTATAGAACTAGAGTTTACAGCTTCAGTGGCAACAGCTGTTAGTTGGCAGATTCTCTGAAAGATGTGCAGTCGTTTTCAGCACTATGAAACTGGAACGTATATAATGTGGTCTGTTTGAATCATATTCTCTGTGAGATGAAAAAGAGAGGGAAAAAAACAAGCTTTGCACAGATAAACATGCAGTGTTCCTCAAAGTGAGTTTACTGTTGTTTCTATCCAAGAACTGAAACCTAGTGGTGCAACAGAAAGGTTTCTGCCTAACATACTGATGATCAACTTTTAAGTCAATCTTTGATTTAGCTTTTAATCTTGAGGAACAGCAGGCTCAGTTTTGCATTCAGGGAAGCAATCCTGAGATTTAYCATTGCTTGAAGAGAAGAGATGGTGGGCTGATAAGAATAAGATTTAACAGTTCTAGAGTATAGCTGGGCAATGAGCTGGAATTGCTGCTCCCCACCCATGCGCTGTTTGTCTTCC